AATGGCCTATCTCTTTTCATTCATTCTCCTGCGCCAAGCCTCTCCAGGACTGGACTGAAGGGGAAAGGGGCGTAGAACCAACTGGGTTGCCAAATTATGCCCACTTTTGTAAGGGTCTACGGTTTGGGTGGGAGTAGTGGTGGGGTGTGTGCCATGGCCTTGCACCCTCTCACCCCGCATCGTCAGCTCAGGGTTCTCCCAGTCGCTGAGGGAGGTTGAAGACACGGGCCCTGGGAGTGGGTAGGGGTTGGGGGTGAGGTGGTTAGGGTGTTAGGGAGGGTAATGGGTTTGGGGCGGGGGGGAACGATTGTGCCAGAGCCAACCTTAGCGATCCAAAACAGGGCCTGACCTTCATTGCCATCTGCAGGCCCGTCCTGAGTTCGGGAGCCTGGGGTGTTGTTGAGGGGGGTTGGTGGGAGGATTCCCAGGAGCCCAGTAGGAAGAGATGGGGACAAATATCTTCACCCAGAGACTGTAGAATTCTCTCTCACCGTTAAGCCCAAAATATTGAATGTTTTGAAGGAGGCATTCAAAAAGGTTCTTAGGGCTAAAAGAATCAATGGATATTTGGGGGGGGGTGGGCAGAAAGTGGGAAGAGGGGGCTGAGTTGGATGATCGTCTGTGATCGTATTGAATGGGGGTAGCAGAATCTAAGGGCTGAATGGCCTCCTCTTGCTCTTACTTTCTATGTTTCTATAACGCTTGATCTCCTCAAGCCATTCAAAACCCCAGGATGCAATTTGACAGAATGAGCTGTCTCCTGGAATCCAGGGTGAGATGGTGGTGCTAAAGGCCTTGTGGGGGTTGCGGGGAGAGGAGTTTGAAAATTTAGAAACCCCGACACCCCCCCTCCCAACCACGAAGGGTATTCGGTGAGTAACAAAAAGCCCATGGCTGGGTCAGGGTATCAGGTTAAGAGTGAGGCCTTGGTGTGGATCAGTAGCAGCAGGCAAAGTAGGCCGAGAGCCTGAATTTGTAGGCCGAGAGCCTGAATTTGTAGGTCTCTCCCACTCTACTTTGAGGCCAGGATGCTGGTGGGTGTGGGCTTTCACGCAACGGAGCAGGGATGAGTACATTTTCAGAATCTCTCGGTTAATTCCGCTTTATCATGTCGGAGTGGAAATTCAGGGATTAGCGAAACACGGGAAGTTGTGGAACATGGTTTGGGGGTTGGAGGGGGGGGTGGTGTGCTCAGCAACAGGTACAGGGAGAGTGATTCATGGCCCCTGATTATTATTTCCAGGCCCTGGACTCTCTATCCCTGATCCAAGCACAGGCCTGGGCCCCGGTTATCAGACTCTGTAGGCCCAAGGTCTGGGGCCTTGGGTGGCACTGACAAGGGGCAGATGGAAGCCAACACAGGAACTAAGTTCTTCCTAAGGTATCCCTCATCCCACCATCCATTATCAGGGATTGTTCCCGTTCAGGGATTCTGAATGAAATATCATTCCATAACTCTCCAAGGTTGTCCATTAGCACTTGCCATCTGGACGTCGCTGACTGAGGCAGCATTTATTTCCCGTCCCTAATTGCCCCTTGAGAAGTAGGTGCTGAGCTGCCTTCTCAAACTGCCTTGGTCCATGTGCTGCACGGACATCCATGTTGTTGATAGGGAGCGAACTCTAGGATTTTGACCTGGTGATATTTCCAAGTCGGGATGGCGAGTTGCTCGGAAGGGGAACGTGCAGGGGGACGGTGTTCCCATGTATCTGCTGGCCTTGTCCTACAAGGTGTAGAGGCCACCAGCCCACTGCGACCTTTGCCTTCCAACCTCCAAACCAAGATGGATGTAGATTCACCAGGACCTTTGACTCGTGGGATGAGGGGTAACTCAAGTCTTGCCTGAGGGACAGGATAGAGGAGAAGCTGACAAGGGGAGTTGTCTGGATCTGTGAATCTCCCACCGTCCTCAGAAAAGGCAGGGTGTAGAGATCAGCCAGGTGATCCTCATAGATTATGAGTTCCCTGATTGGGGCTGTTAACCTGGTCCAGTCATGGAGCCCTGACTGGCAGATATAAATAGGAGCATCAGAGGTTCTGCTCACTCTAAGAGCTGGCTCTGAGGCAGCTGGATAAGTGTCAAGGACTCTCCATGTGCCTTGGTGACTGGATACTGGCCTCTGTGGAGCTATTTCAGTGGCAACGAGAGAAAACAATGTGTTCCTGGAGAAATCCGCTCACAACAGTAAGCATTTCTGCCATCGTGCCGATATTTGTGAAGCTAGACTCGTTTGATCCCGCCCTCAAAGACTGGGCCCTGCATGTGGAAAGGACGCGTTAGTTTTTCTAGGCAAATGACATTGGAGCAGATGAAAACCAACGAGTAATTCTCCTGACAGCTTGTGGACCCGCAGCTTTTTCGGTTGTTAGGAGCCTAATCTAGCCTGAGGCGCCAGATACCAAAACCTTTCAAGAGTTGATAGATTTGGTTATGGAATATTATGAGCCTAAGCATCCTCTGCTTCTGAGACACAATCAGTTTTCCTTGGCAGTTCGACAATTTCGGGAATCCATGCCAGGATTTTTTGACTGGGTTATGACAACTGGCAGGGGGCACGTGACTGTCGTTTAACCCGTAACGAGATGCTAAGAGACCATATGGTGTGTGGGATGAATGATGTAACCGTGCAAAAGCGCCTACTAGTTGAAGCCCAACTGGACTTCAAACAGGCACAAGAACTGGTCTTATCATTGGAAAAATGCAACAAATGGGACATATGGGTTGCAGGGTATGCTGATGGAAGTGGGCACCCTCGCCAGTCCAACTGAACTTGGAGAATGCCACTTGAGGGTCAAAGCAATTGCATAGCCTCACTCGGGACATATCCTTAACAGAGGGGCTCCAGGCCAGCCCACAGCAAAACCCCAAAACAAAGGCAAACAGTTACAATTTTCTTCAGGATCTGGGCCAGCAAGCCATTGATGTTGCTGCCAGCATGTGGATTCAAGGCAGAAAAGAAGTCCCACTAGACCCAAATGAGTAAGAGAACACATTGGCTGGTAATGCCAGAGAGCACACACCCTGGAAAGTCCACCTACGTTTGGTTTGGAACAGTTAAACTGCTCAGCAACGTCCAAATCAGAACCAATCCAAATAAACGTCTGGTTAAATGGTCACCCGGTTCTAATGGAGGTTGGCACAGCTGTGTGCCAGTGATTGCAGAACCGGTCTTTAACAAAAATGACTGCCAGCACATTAGTGGGGCACAGCCGGGTAAACCCTGGACTCAGTTACACATTGACTATGCCAGCCCTTTCACGGGCTCAATGTTCTGAGTCATTGTGCACACCCACGCAAAGTGCATTCATGGGACGAAGATAGAAAATGCGTCCGCACCTTATTGCAACACACGGCACTCCCGAATGCGTTGGTCACAGATAACGGGCCATCAGGGAATTTGAGTGTTCCCTAGAGCCGAATGGGATTCTTCCTGGAAGGACAGCTCCATCCCATCCGTCGTCCGCACTAGGTTAAACCGAAATTCCAGGACCTTGCGGGGGAAAGGTGAAATGGCATCAGGCACGCCAGTTACTGAACGCGAGACTCCTCTAAGGGAGAGAGATAGTTGACTTCAGCGGACGAAGTTTGGTGTAGGAATCACGGGAATGGGTAAGGAACATGGGTGATGCGACGTACAAAGTTTCAGTAAGTGAAGTTGTCCCCAGCAAGCACATGGACCACATGGAAGCTGCAAACTCACAAACAGGGTAGGAGTAAAACAAACTGGGGTCCTTCAGGACATCCGGCAAGGTTATGAGAGCCCATGGCTTCTCCCTCCCCATCTAGCATCGAAGCATGAGCTGTGCACAGTGGATCTCACAGCCTCGATACCTTTACCGCCTGAAGAGGGGAATGAATTTCTTCCAGCATGCTCCGGGAGTGGACCTCGTAGAATAGGAGTTCCCTGACTGGGCCTGTTAACCTGGTCCAATCAGGGAGCCCTGGCTGACAGATATAAACAGGAGGGTCAGAGGTTCTGTTCACTCTGATAACCGGCTCAGAAATAGCTGGTACCAGCGGTGAGTAATGTCATAGAGTCACAGAGCTATATTCCAGCACGGAGACAGACTCTTCGGTCCAACTCGTCCATGCCGACTCGATATCCTAAATTAATCTCGTCCCATTTGGCCCATATCCCCACCAACCCTTCCTACCCACATACCCATCCAGATGCCTTTTAAATGTTGTAATTGTACCAGCCTCCACCATTTCCTCTGGCAGCTCATTCCATACACGCACCACCCTCTGCGTGAAAAAGTTGCCCCTTCAGTCCCTTTCAAATATTTCCCCTCTCACCTTCAACCTACGCCCCTCTAGTTTTGGACTCCCCTACCCTAGGGAAAAGACCTGATTATTTATCTTATTTATGCCCCCTCATGATTTTATAAACCTCTACAGGGTCACACCTCAGCTTCCGACGTTCCAGGGAAAATAGCCCCAGCCTATTCAGCCTCTCCCTATAGCTCAAACCCTCTAACATCCCTGTAAAGCTTTTCTGAACCCTTTCAAGCTTCACAACATCCTTCCTATAGATGGAGTTTAACCCTGAAAAGTGTGAGGTGATTCATTTTGGAAGGACAAACTTGAAAGCAGAATACAGGGTTAACGGAAAGATTCTTGGCAGTGTGGAAGAGCAGAGGGATCTTGGGGTTCATGTCCACAGTTCCCTGAAAGCTGCCACCCAGGTGGATAGAGTTGTTAAGAAGGCGTATGGTGTGTTAGCTTTCATTCATAGAGGGATTGAGTTCAAGAGCCGTGAAGTTATGCTCCAGCTATACAAAAGCCTGGTTCGGCCACATCTGGAGTATTGTGTCCAGTTCTGGTCACCTCATTACAGGAAAGATGTGGAAGCGTTGGAAAAGGTGCAGAGGAAATTTACCAGGATGTTGCCTGGAATGGAGGGAAGGTCTTACGAGGAAAGGTTGAGAGCTAGGGCCTTTCTCTTTAGAACGATGAAGGATGAGAGGTGACTTGATAGAGGTGTACAAAATGATCAGAGGTATAGATAGAGTGGACAGCCAAAGACTTTCCTAGGGTGGAGGTAGCTATTACGAGGGGACATAGTTTTAAAGTGAAAGGAGGTAGATATAGGGGAGACGTTAGAGGTAGGTTCTTTACTCGGAGAGTGGTCGGGGCGTGGAATGCATTGCCGGAGAGGGTAGTGGAGCCGGCCTCATTAGGGCTATTTAAGCGGCTATTAGATAGGCATATGGATGATAGTATAAGGTAGGGGTGGAGGTTAGATAGACCTTAGGTATAGGGTAAAAAGTTCGGCACAACATCGTGGGCCGAAGGGCCTGCGCTGTGCTGTTCTGTTCGATGCCAGGGAGTACTCTCCACATGTGACTTGATGATGGGAGACTGGTCTCTATGGAGTTATTTCAGGGGCAGTGTTTCTCTCCTGGGTATGAGGTAGTGGTACTGAGCCCAAGGGTACGAATGTGAGCCCTGCTGTCCACCCTTCTGCAAACTCATTGTTTTTAAATCATTTGCCCTGATTTCCTCATTCCTAGGCCCACTTCCCTCTCCTCCTGCCCTATCCTCTCTTGAACTTTGACCCCTGCCCCCACCCCACCAAGCCTCACTGCTCCCCTCACCACACAAATGGAGGAGTAGGACCTTTCTGTCTCCCCTGCCTGCGTCCTCAGCTTCCCTCCCCCACCAATACCTTTTCGATATTGCCCTCCTCCGTTGGGCTGGAGACGGTGTGGGGTGCGGGAGATCAATCCTGCCACAGCCGCTGACGGGATTTAAACTTAATGAATAAATCCAGGATTGGAAACTCCTCTCCGGCGATGATGGAGAAACTAAGGTTGGTTATCTTTACAAGAATAAAACCCTCCGCCTCCCCTTTCGGGGAGTAGAGTCTGCCATGCTTGCTCAGTCCAGGCCTACACCTGAACGCTAGGCCTCAGGGTGAAAATGTTCCCAAAATAAAACGTTCCTCGCCACAGCCAGGAGTTGGTTGCGTGTTATTTCAACAAAAAAAAAATGCCAATGCTAGAGAAGTGACCGTTTCGGGATTCCATTTCCACACGTTCAGGAGGAGCGAGGCCATTCAGCCCCCTGCACCCCCTCCAACCCATTCACCGTCCCAACTTGGAAAGGTATCACCATTTCTTCACTGGGTCAGAATCCTGGAATTCCTTTTCTGAGGGCAATATTAAAATTCATTCATTGGATGTAGGTGTTGTTGGCTGGGCCCAGCATTTATTGCCCCCTGTCCCTAATTGCCCCTGTAGAAAGTGGTGGGGAGCTGCCTTCTTGAACTGCTGCAATCCACCTGCTGTGGGTTGACCCACAATGCCCCTTAGGGAGGGAATTCCAGGATTTTGACCCAGCGACACTGAAGGAACGGCGATGTATTTCCAAGTCAGGATGGGGAGTGGCTCGGAGGGGAATGTGCAGGGGCTGGTGTTCCCATGTACCTGCTGCTCCTTGTCCTTCTGGATGGAAGTGGTCGTGGGTTTGGAAGGTGCTGCCTGAGGATCTTTGGTGAATTTCTGCAGGGCACCATGTAGATGGTACACACTGCTGTTACTGAGCGTCAGTGGGGGGCGGGAGTGGGATGTTTGTGGATGTGGTGCCAATCAAGGGGGGGCTGCTTTGTCCTGGATGGTGTCAAGCTTCTTGAGTGTTGTTGGGGCTGCCCCCATCCAGGGGCAAGTGGGGAGTATTCCTTCACACTCCTGACTTGTGCCTTGTAGATGGTGGGACATGCTTTGGGGGGAGTCAGGAGGGGAGCTACTCGCTGCAGGATTCCTAGCCTCTGGCCTGCTCTTGTAGCCCCCTGTGTTAATGTGGTGAATCCAGTTGAGTTTCTGGTCAATGATAACCCCCAGGATGTTGATAGTGAGGGCTTCAGTGATGGTAACACCATTAAATGTTAAGGGGCAGTGGTTAGATTGTCTCTTATTGGTGATGGTTAGAGCCTGGCATCTGTGTGGCATGTATGGAGGGTCAGCCCACTGCAGGAGCTCAAGAGGGCAGTTCACCTTCCATCTTCTCCGGGGCAATTAGGGACGGGCAATAAATGCTGGCCAGACAGCGATGCCCATGAGTGAATTTAAAAAAAAGATTCTCTGTCATCTCCGAATATCCTTCTTAAGCAAATATC